TACAAAGCCCTTCTGTACGCTTTTTTTGTAACGGGATTTAATTTGAGAAATGTTTCTCGCGAGTTTTGAAGTTGTTGATTACGAATCTGTTGTCAGTGTTATTATATTCATGGTGAAGCTTGACCGTGTTACAAAAATCGAAAACACACTTCACGCGGAGGCAATGTTGATATCACCATAAAATGTATTTGAGTGCCGAATAGTAATATTTTTGTCTGAACTCATTTTCGCCATTTTTAAATATCTTAGGATTGTCACTTTTAGGAGTCTTAACAATTTTTTTTTGTGGCCTGGCGTGAAACAAAATGTACCTACCGGTATATAATATACAAAATCTTCCGTTTGATAGATTAGGTTAGATCACTACGTTCGCCATATTGGAATTGCCTTCTTTCATATTATCCATATCAACATATCCATAATCTGCGATCCTGAAAACTCCCAAATACCGAAAATCATTTTTATACAATTTTCATAATTTCATCCGCTATATTGGATCTACCATCTTGAATATAATAACACTAACAACAGATTCGTAATTAACAACTTCAAAACTCGCGAGAAACATTTCTCAAATTAAATCCCGTTACAAAAAAAGCGTACAGAAGGGCTTTGTAAATTGATGCATTTTATATATATATACATAAACGCAATAATCGTCATGTTTAGGATGCCGTAGCAAAAAAACTGTACATTTTCATGGCTTCGGCCCATGGAGCTGCATAAAAAAGGATAGGTCCGGGAATTTTTAGAATTTTATTTTTTTTAAATTTTTCGAAGACCGACCCCTTCAAAAAGTTGGAAAAAATGAGGATGACGAAAAAATCCGAACTATTTACAACATAAAAATAGTACTTTTTTCAAATTTATATAATTTTTTATTTTTTTTTGGAATTTTGAACAGGTCGTAATTTTTCCTTATAGAACTCGACGAGAGGAACAAGACAGGTCATCTGCACCAACGTCCTATCTCGCACCGTTTAACCTGTGGACTTTTTTAAAATTTTCCCAAAAAATTGATTTTTGGAATTTTGGATGGATGGCAATTTTCCTTTATAGATCTCGACAAAAGGAACAAGAAAGGTCCTTTGCACCAACCTCCTATCTCGCACCGGTTAGCCTGTGGACTTTTTTGAAAATTTTCCAAAAAATTTGTTTTAAGTCCAAAGGAAGTTTCAAATTGGAAAAATGGACAAAAATTGGACTATACCAGTGGATAGAGAATGTCGAGAAACGTGTTTTGGACCCATGAATTTTTGATCGAATTTTGGAAATTAAAAAAATTTTTTTTAAGTCCAAAGGGTGTATCAAGTTTGAAAAATCGACTAAAATTGGACTATACCAATGGATAGAGAATGTCGAGAAATGTGTTTTGGACTTATGAATTTTGGACCGAATTTTGAAAATTACCCAAATTTTTTTTAAGTCCAAAGGGAGTTTCAACTTGGAAAAATGGACAAAAATTGGGCTATACCAATCGATAGAGAATGTTGTGAAACGCGTTTTAGACCTATGAATTTTGGACACAGTTGCAAACACTTTTCACGTGTGTCCTGGGTCAAGAAGGTTGAGGGGTCCAGGGGGCGAGCCCCCTGGTCAGGGGTCCAGGGGGCAAGTCTCCATGGTCAGGGGGGGTTTGGAGGGGGCGAAGCCCCTCCCCTGAGAATAAAAAAAATTAGAATTCGTTAAAAACGACCATGACAACAATCACGGCCGCAGACAGACATGTAACCGGATTTTAATGAAGGTAAACGTGAATGACCATGTCTAAAACCAAAGGTTAGTGATAAATAAAATTAAAATTATATATTTTACAGTGGATAACAATATGTCTCTTTTTTTAGGTTTCTGGTTTCTTTGATCAATTGTGGATCACCAACGCGAAGACGCAATCCTCGCAACTAAATATGGTAAGTACCAAATATTGTGGTTGTTTGTGTATTATTATCTCATTACTTTGCATCAGGTAGTCAACCAAAACTAGATCGATCAGGACCAAGCATTGGCTGAAACGTAAGTATCTAAAGTAAATGAAAATTATGGCAAAACTCATAATGTTGGAAACCTATTCATGAGAAATTATAGAAGCTGACAACCCTCCAGTTTGATAAGGTAAGTATAAAACTAAATGTATTCTCTGTTTCTTGACTAATATTATTTTATCTCAAGTTTCAGCTGTTACAGTCATCCAGTACGATCGCCACTCAACAGAAGAGTCTATCATTCAACAATGGTAAGTATGACAATACGTTGTAATAATAATACAAATGTTTTTTTTTTCAGGTATCCCAGGCAATTCTAGGACGGACGTCGATCGCCACTCAACAGGAGAGTATCATTCAACAATGGTAAGTATGACAATACGTTGTAATAATTTTACTAATGTTTCCTTCTGTTTCAGGTATCCCAGGCAATTCCAGGACGGACGTCGATCGCCACTCAAGATGAGAGTCTATCATTCAACAATGGTAAGTATGACAATACGTTGTAATAATTTTACTAATGTTTCCTTCTGTTTCAGGTATCCTAGACAATTCCAGGACGGACGTTGATCGCCACTCAAGAGGAGAGTCTATCATTCAACAATGGTAAGTATGACAATACGTTGCAATAACTTTACTAATGTTTCCTTTTGTTTCAGGTATCGCACAGGCAATTCCAGAGGACGAATGTGCCGATCGCCGCTCAACAGGAGTCTGTCGTCTCGCGCAATGGTAAGTATTAAAATATGTTGTAATAATCATAACAGTAGTTATATTCTGTTTCAGGTATTCCAGTCAAAACGTCAACAAGATTACAAACTGTCGGGCGAAACCCCCCCGAATATGAAAAAGGCAAATTGGAATTCATCAAAGACGACCAGAAGGACAAAAGTGTTAAGTCAATTACAAAAACACATACCGTTTGATACAAATGGACAAAGTTAATATGTGGCCGCTCTTGGTTAGCGCGTGTCTCCGAGAAGACACGCGCGTAAGCCCCGTCACCACGTCAAGGTGGCGGCCACATCGACGGGGTGTGGCCCTGAAAAGGGCCGTTTTAAAGGGCTATTTTTTTATATTTTTTGGAAATTTTTTTGTTAGTGCGCGACAAAACTCGCCGCAGTAGATTTTGATCCTTTTTACACAACACCAGAAAAAAAATTACGGACAATAAAGGGATCTACAGACAAAAGAAACGCAATAAAAAAGAAAAACCGCTAAGAACAAAACTAGAAATAAATGTATCTGCGCAAACGCAGATAAACGTAAAATGGAAAACGCATGCAATGAAAAATATAAAATAGACTAAAAACTAAAACTAAATAAACGCAGATAAAGACAGAAATAGGGATCTACAAAACTAAAATAAACGCAATTGAAAAGATAAAACGCTGAAAAAAGAAATACAAATAAATGAACGCAAACGCAGATAAACGTAAAAAACTAAAAGACGCAGACATGCAAGAAAAAAAATAAAATTTTTATCTTATACTTTTTTTGGGTTTTTTTATTTTAAATTTTTTTGGTTTTTATATGCAATACTTTTTGTGGTTATTATATTTTAAACTGTTTTAGTTTCATATAACACTTCAATGTTTTGAATATATAATAATAATATTTGATCGCGCAATTCGCGAGGATGGCGATGCACGACTATTCATCGTTTTTTATTCGGAATGGTCAGGCGTCAACAAATAATGCGGAACGAGGTTGCGTCGCGCTTCGTCCTCCAATTGCAACGCCTCCTCAAATCGTAGCTCCTCCTCGATGCGAGACGCACTAAAGGTTTTGTCTGCGGTGCCGGCGACGTATTCACGAAGGTGGCGGTCGATGGGCGCACATTGTACAACTGGGGTCGCGAGGTCGACAATGCCATGCCGCTGCAACGCGCGACTCATCGATCTGCTGACGCGCCGGAAGTTGACGGCTCTGATCGACCGGTCGTTGATAAGTTTGTCGCTGCGGTTTCCGAACGTCTAGACGACGCGGCGTTTTCTGTAGCGCCGTCTTGGCGCTACTCCGCGACCTGCCGGCGGCGACGCGCGGAAGGAGGCTTACGCCGCGCTGACGCAACGCCTCGACGACAGCGGTCGGTAGTGGTGGTCTTGCGACGCGTCTCTTTGCGGTGGTCGACGCGCTCCTCACCGACCACTACCGGCGGCGGCATCGCGACGGCTATTCTGCGACGAGCTCGCAGAAGAAGCAGACACTGCAGGTGACGGTGTCACCAAATCAATTTGTTCGAGGACGACACGTGCCTCCCGAACAATGGGCGTAGCAGGTGCGGCGGGGGGGGGGTGGCTCGCTCGTGGTAGGCGTCCAGGTCGTTTAACCTTGCAGGGCCTGCCCGCAGATACACGCGCTTTTGGCGGAGCATTCAACGTGGAAGTTGTAACGCGCCTCGTGGTGATGGTGGTGGTGGAGCAGGTCGACGGTGTGATTGCAACGTCGTGCCACATCAATTTGGCACTCTTGGAGAGTGGCACCGGTTGTGGCAGTGGTTGATCATCATCTAATGGCAGCGGCGGCGACGGAATCGTCGAAGAGGCCACCACCGACGGTTCCGGTATACTAGTTCGGACGGCCGTCGACGGTTCGTCGATGGTCCTACTACCACCTGCAGTAGGTGTAAATCCTTGTTCAGCGTCGTAGGCCTCCGCCGCTGTTCTGGCTCTCTTTCTAGGCTGACCGGGTTTCGGTCCCGGACGCCTCTTGACGAGTCGTCCGTTTCGTCGAGGCGCACTGAATACCGGCCGTGGTGTTGACGCGCGTTCCGTCAAGAGACGGGAAACAGCGGACTGAACCACGAGGTCCGGCGAAACATTGCGATCGGCAGGAGGAGAATGTGATCCTTCTTCCGAGTCCGATGCGGGCGGTGTTGCCGCCGCCGCCGCTTCCACGCGACCTGGCGACGTGGACCTGGCTGCAGGACCAACCAACGTCAAGGCGACGGCGGCGATGGCGGCGATAAAGTCGCGGACGCCTCGTCCGGATCGATTGCGCCGATCGCGTCGCCCTGTTCTCGCTACTGCGACCATCTCGCGAAATTCCGCGTCCGAGATGCCGCCGTCCTCCTTACTTACGACCGATCACGTCAGTCGGTCCTCGCCGCGGACCTTTTTGGCCATCAATGCACGAGGAAATACGTCTACATGGTCACGTACAAAATTAACGAGACATTCGTGAAATGCCCGCTCGTTGCCGTGTACGCACAAACGAGCCATGATACAAAATGGCGTAACCGGGTTCCAAAATATGGCCGATACGCTTTCCACGTCAAGCGTCGACCTGGAGACTACTATCTTCTCCAACGATTTGTTTCTTCTCCATCGTTGTATTAGCACCGGGGCAGAGAAGGCCGATTCGTAATTGGAGTACGTCGACTGCACGAGACTGACGTTATTGGCGGTCAGCTCGCGATTTACCAATTTCTTGTACGTCCACGTGGCGTAACAGGTTATGAGAAATCTAACCGCTTCCTCGGCGTGAAGCTCCGGAACAACCAGTGCGGCAGTGACGTCGCACTTAAGCCAGACGACGTGGCCGATGAAAGCTATGTGTTTGAGAGGATCCAGTTCGTCGACTGGATACTCTTTGTTGTAAAAGGGAAAGAGATTTCCCTCCCCGCAGCTCATCATCGTCGGTCGCAAGCGGTATTACTTCCACGGTACGTCCGCGAATGCTGGCGGTCTCCGTTTTACGGACAAACATGTATCTTTGTATTTCGAAGTTGTACTTCGACATCGTACGGTGGACGAAGTAAAAACTTCGAAAGTGCGCGCGCACAAGTTGCTCCACGATGGGAGGAGTCATCCAAGCAAGTTTGTCGAAAATCTCCTCGACGTCGTTCGAAACAAATCGCTTAAGAAATCTAATATCCTCGCCAATATTCGCCTGCAAGTGGCGTTATCATTCGGGAATACGTTGGAGGATATTGCGACGCAACAGCTCCCTGGTCGCGAAGCACAATCGGTGCGGTTCGAATACACCGACACGCGTCATTTCGTCAACGATATCCTCGTCCTCGCTGTCGTCGTCTCCCGCCGCTGCCAACGAGGAGCAGTAACGTACGGAGTCGAACGTTATGACCTCCTCTATCCGAATCATGGGTCGATGCTCCACATAGTTCATCGTATACGCGATCAGGTCGCGTATACTTTGAACAATTTCCTTCTTGCGTTTTCGCAACGTCGCGTATCGAGTTGTCTGTTCTTCGGCCAACGTGGGCAGCGAGCGATATCCGCGGGTGTACAAAAATGCCAGAAGATCGCCAGAAGTTGGTATCTTTGCCATCTTCGTCGTGGGAAAATACGTTTGAACGTAGGTGACTCGATGACAAACTCGGTCACCGACGACGTCGCGCGACGGCCATAGCGGTGCCTGGCCACAGGCAAAATGCCCAACATGCGCATCGAAGGCGACTTTGTACCGGTGGCACCTGGCGTCCAGCTTGTCGGGACCTCGGAACATGTCGGACAAGCGATCGTCTGTTAGCAAAGCGACGATCGCGTTGTCGCGGCAGTGCGTTCTCAAGTGATTCGCGCAATGAATCTGCGTCAAGTCGACATGCGGATGCGTCACTTGGACCAGACTCTTGAGATGTCGCTCGCCTCTCGGTCCGTCCACGCGCAGGCCGTGGTCGCACGCGTAAAATGCAATACGTCTGCAATACGCGATTCCGCACGTCGCGGCGAGATCGATCTCGCGCAACTCCTTTGTCACCAACTGGGCGAATTGCTCATAGTCTCTTGCGTTAACCGCGTAGATCCTTTCCATGTCCTCCTCGACGTATTTAAACCCCATCATTGACGTCTCCAGGTCGACGGGTAATCTATTTGCCGCGGCCAGGATAACGCGACAGATGAATGCCGTACACGCCGCCTGACGGTGAGCCTCTAGGCCGGAGCGGCCGCGACCGCGGTTGCCAAACGGGATCTGAGCGGTTTCAAAAAACTCGCTGTCCAGGGCAAGCTTGAAAACCAAGAACATGTTTTGTTTGTCTACCGTGCCAATGCACATTTCGTGCCATTCCTTGGCACGAACACGCGTCACGTCCTCGTCTTGGAAAACGAGGTCCTGTCTGGCGCCGCTGCCGAGGAAACAGTTTGTCCCTGTGCTGCAAGACGCTTGTGAGTTTTGTGTTCTCGCAATTGGCCAGCGATTTTGGCATCAGAAACATTTTTGCCTGACTGTCGCATATGAAAGGCTCTAATGTACGGCAGCAAATCAAGATCGAATCAACGTCGTAACACGAGCTCACACCGGTCGCTCCGTAGTTATCTGAGTCGATCAACGGATAAGTTACCAATCCTTCCTCTTCCTGGTGCTCCCTCCGAGTAGGATGCGCACGCGCTCTGCGACTCCGACGCAAAGTTACGTCCATTCTGACTCGACAGATCAGACTGTGATCAGACGCAACACTCAAAAGACTCGACGAGGAGACGATAAGAAAAAGAAACGACGCGCTTTCTCTACTTTCTGGCCTGTGAAACCTGAAAAAAAAAAGAAAAAGATCAGACATCATTCCACTTATTCTCTCATTCTTGGATCCGCAGCAGATACTGAGATCCCTGTGACAGCTTATCGGACTGATACACATCAGCCGATGAGATGTTACAGGAATTCCTGTACTGCTACCATTGAAAAGACTAGTGAATATGCAATTCTACATGTTCCAAAAATAAGAAATATTGCTGTTTTGAGCTTTCACGACGAACACCTTAACAATCGATGTCCGAGCTGGAGCGCCTCCAGTTTGCATGAAAACTTACCTTATTTTCCACCTTTTCTCCTATTTCGGCTGCTTGAAAGTGGAGCGTCTCTCGTCCTCGGCACGTACTCGAGTCTCCCTTTGAGAATCTAGAGTCTCCTCCAGTTTGGGTAAAAACTTATCTTATTTTCTCCCTTTTCTCCTATTTGGGATGATTCTAACTGGAGCGCCTCTTGTGGTTGGAAAGTACTCGATCCATCCTTCAAGATTTCCGAGTCCTCTCCAGTTTGCATGAAGACTTACCTTATTTTCTGCCTTTTCTCTTATTTTTACTCGTCTGCATTGCGTTTATCTGAAATTACTGTTTTTTTTTATTCCAGAAACGATCATAATAAATAATCGACTAGTTTTTGTATTTAAGTCCTATTTTAAATAATGTCTTTAATGTTGTCTATTCTGTTTTAGAAAGAAAAATGGATTAACGATGGATAGACATTGAGCTGGAGACGGTGCGACCTCCAGCAATAATCGCTACGGAGGACGACTTTGAGATTAATTGTAGCGCCCAATTAGTGTAAGTCTTTCTATATTTTAGATATCTTTTTTCTTTTTCTTTTTTGTCATGTAATCGTTTAGGGTCAAGAAGGGTAAAGCCGGAGGGAGACTCATTCATTGGGAGCACCGTCACGCGTCAGTTCCCTCGGTCGCGGAGTTAGAAATGGAGGCACGGATCGGGAGGGAAATAGCGGAACGCGTAGAACGGGAGATTCTCAATCCTCCCAGAAGGAGACGCGGCCCGGACGAGCCGGGTTGCTCCTTCTGGGAGGACTAGAGACGTTGGAAGCGGACAAGGTGAATACATATACATAGATCATTGAAGAATAATTTACGAAATATTTATAAATTTTTTGTTTGTTTAACTTTGTTATAGATTGAAGCGGAAAAACAGCGCATTAGTTTTTTTTTACTTTTTATAAATGAAAAATATATAATCTTTTTTTAAATATATACAGGCAGAAAATATAATAATAAATAGTAATTATCTTTGTAAAAGTGTTAATTCTTTTCTTAGTGTGTCCCCTTGTTTCATTCATTATATTTCTAGGTGCGAAGAGTAACAATTTTGGACTTGAAAAAGGCCCTTTTCAGGGCCACCCCCGCCAATGTGTGGCCGCGACCTTGATGTGGTGGCGGGACTTACGCGCGTCTCCTCCAGGGGGGACGCGCAAACGAAGAGCGGCCACATAAAAATTGTATTTATTTCAATGTCACTAATCATTTTGTTAATTTTTTATGTTTCAGAAATGGTGAACAGTATCGTTTCTCGGTGCGAGAGCGAGGCCGACACAGTGTCGCTAGATAGCGACGTGGACGTCGAGGAGTTTTTTCGACAGGAGGAGGAGGAGGAGGAGACGACAAAAGAAAAAGAGCAAGGAGAGGCGGAATGACAACACGCTGAATTAAGTAGCGACGTGTCCAGCCTCTCGGAGTCATCGTCGTCGGACGACGACATTAATCCTCCACCCAAACGGCGGAAGTAAGTATTATAATTATCTTTTTTTTTCCTATACAAATAATTCGAAATAAAACTAATAATTTTTGTTTCAATTGTGTTACAGGATGGATGAAAATGGAAAGGACGAACATAAATAATTTTTGTTACATTTATATTTATATTATATATATATATTATGCATGATATATAACGTAAATAAAAAAAATTAAGATGTTTTAAGGAAAAAAAATAAACAATTCGAACTATAATTTTTAAAGTGACTTATTTACCATTATGTTTCCTCTCCTTAACACTAGATTAGTATAAGATCGCTAGAGCAAATGTAATTTTTGTTTTTGTTCTTTTTTTACTTTTTTTTAATCCAAAGGGTGAATTTGCTAAGAAAAATCGTTCAAAATTATACTATACCAATGGATAGAGAATGTCGAAAAACGTGTATTGGCCCATGATTTTTTTATCGAATTTTGGAAATTTTCATAATTAATTTTAAGTCCTAAGGGAGTATTAACTTTGAAAAATGGACCAAAATTGGACTATACCAGTCGATAGACAATGTCGAGAAACGTATTTTGGACATATAATTTTTGGACCGAATTTTTGAAATTTTCTTAATTTTTTCCAAGTCCTAAGGGAGTGTCTTTTTGGAAAAATTGACTAAATTTATACTAGACCGATGGATAGAAATGTCGAGAAACGTGTTTTGGACCTATGAATTTTGGACCGAATTGCGGAAAATTTCATAATTTTTTCTAAGTCCTAAGGGAGTATCAATTTGGAAAAATCGACTAAATTTGGACTATACCAATGGATAG